ATGCACGCTTTTTACAGCGTACAAGCTGAGAAAATGGTATTTGGATAATATATATATAAAAAATAATAATTAAATTTTATTATACATTTATTTCACAGTGTAAATTCAATAATAAAGAATATTATACATGTATTACATCGTGTAAATTTAACAATATTTAATTTCTCTATTGTCAATAATAATTTGATGGTGATTGTGTACAAGGTTCCTCGTTAATGGACTTAACCAAAGACATCCAACCGAATTCTCGCACATGTTCGTTCTAAAATTGAAATACTATTAATAAAACAGTTAATTTTTAATTGATATTGCAAACCTTTTTCTGAGGTGTGTTATACCACGTTTTTTTATCCGCCAATCGATCCACAATGCTGGTAGACATGAATGTTTTTATTTCATGTGCATAACTATGATCATGTTTTTTCATTATATGTTTTCCAACCTCGGTGAAATCGATATTTTTTACAAATAATGTAATTGCGTTGTAATCGTTTGTTATACGCTCGTGTGTGAAAATATTGAAACAATAATCGATAATCTCTTCAAATTGCTTTTTAATGATCGGTCTATTGACGGTGTTTTGACGATTGATTGCATCGAAAATTACATACTCCAAATCTAATAAGGTGATTAAGTGCTCATATTTGAAAACGACCTGACACTTTGGATATATTTTCGATTTTATTAAAATGACGTTTGTCTTGCGATGCGCCCTTTTCCATACTGCTGTTTCAACATCCTCGAGTAGTAAAATATTTTCTTTTTTAATCGGCGCGGTCAATACCGAAGATAAAATATTGCCCATCGAACCGAAAATACGCTTTAAAAAATCTATCGAAATCGAAACATTTTTTAACGGAGAAATAATACGCACCTCGGTGTTGAACGGTTCTCTCGGTTCAATACCGATCGTTATGAAAAATTTTTGTTTTTCATTCAGACTGTAAACCAAACAATTTAACAAATCATTTTTACGTTGAAATTCGACTTGACCAACACTATTCGCTATAGTCATATTGTCGAGAATAAAACATAAAATCATGTCCGTTCAACACAACAACAAATGACCGAATGATCTTATACTGTTTTTGTAACGAATCGCACCTGACCGATCGACTTTTTTTCTAATTTTCACTATCAATTATTTCGTAATCATTAAGGTTCGTCTTGTCTTTTACAACAATTTCTAAAAAATTTACACGTTTATCGATAATTTTTAATACTTCATGCAAATGTTTTATATAGTCTCTTAAATCTTCGACTTGTCGGCCTAATCTAAAATCTACCCCTTTAAATCTTACGAACAGTTCATAAATCTGCGATCTGTTTTTAAGTAAACTTTCATCGATGTTTTTTATTTTTTCTACGTCCTCACCTCGGCGCGAACAACAACAACAACAACAACGACACCGATCCATTATAACACGTCACTAAACTGTCTGTAAAACATCATTTTCATCGTTTATCATAACTGCGATGCGATCGAATTACGCAGCGCCGTCCGTCGGGCGAAATACTCGCGCAATCATAGTGTGTGTGTTGGGTTACATGGCGGGTGCCGTCCGCCAGATGGCAGCACATGTACAAAGTGTGAATTGGGTTTCAGGGTACGCGCCGTCCGCCAGATGGCAGCACATGTACAAAGCGTGAGTTGGGTTTCATCGGATTAGTGTACGTTGGGTTACATCCGAATAGTGTACGTTGGGTTGCATCGGATTAGAATACAAGGGGTTTGCTCCATTCCCCTCCCCCCTTTCCCCTACTAGGGCGGGAGGGGTATGTAAGGCAGAGGGGTATGGCTGCCATACATTATTATACTACTCATGTAGCTTTTGGAATAACCCACCAATTTTTTAAAATTAAGCACTATCTAAAGATTTGCATCGAAGTGTTTTTGATGATATTGATTTTAATCACAGTCAGATATAAAACTCTTATAACTTAAGATCTATATAACATTTTTCACTTTTTTTTTTTAATAAATTTTTACACTATAGGACTTTATTTAAAAAATGTTTTATGTTATTTTTCGCAATTACAAAAAATATTTTAAAAATTAATTTTTTTTTTAAGATTTTAAGATTGCCATTTTATAGATAAGTTTTAAAGAAAAATTTGGATACCAATAACTCTTGTTTTAATTTAGTCGTTACATTTCGATAATATTTTGAAATTTTGAATTTTTTTTATAATTTTTCTATGGTATCAAACGTTAGTCCATGTTAAGTTAAGGACAGAAGTAAGAACTATCTTAATAGAGGAAAGTCGCAAAATATTGGATACTTTTTTTAAAAGCCATTTTTTCCGAGAAAAAAACATTTTTTAATCATTTTGTAATTGAAATGTTGTATCACCTTAATAAAAACACATAGTGCATACAAATATATTTATTTCAACTTAAAGGAACAAAAAAATAGGTAGAACTAAAAAATGTAACTTTTTCGAATAAAAAAAAAAGGTTCCCAAAATTAGATACCCTATCCAAAATTAGGCATCTATTTTTCTGCACAAAAATCGCACGCGTAGGCTTTCTTTTTGTCACTACCAGCACAATCTTCATGTGACCACCTGTAGCAAATGAAACACTATACCCAGGGTTCTCCGTGTTGGTCCATTTTATAGTGTCCTTTGCAGAAAATGCATTCTGCATCGCTTTCTTCATCGGTGTCCATATCCGAGTCATTATCATATTCAAAATCTTCTGAGGAAGCTGAGAATTCACTTTCTTCTTCTACTCTGGTAACCTTNTATTTGAAAACGACCTGACACTTTGGATATATTTTCGATTTTATTAAAATGACGTTTGTCTTGCGATGCGCCCTTTTCCATACCGCTGTTTCAACATCCTCGAGTAGTAAAATATTTTCTTTTTTAATCGGCGCGGTCAATACCGAAGATAAAATATTGCCCATCGAACCGAAAATACGCTTTAAAAAATCTATCGAAATCGAAACATTTTTTAACGGAGAAATAATACGCACCTCGGTGTTGAACGGTTCTCTCGGTTCAATACCGATCGTTATGAAAAATTTTTGTTTTTCATTCAGACTGTAAACCAAACAATTTAACAAATCATTTTTACGTTGAAATTCGACTTGACCAACACTATTCGCTATAGTCATATTGTCGAGAATAAAACATAAAATCATGTCCGTTCAACACAACAACAAATGACCGAATGATCTTATACTGTTTTTGTAACGAATCGCACCTGACCGATCGACTTTTTTTCTAATTTTCACTATCAATTATTTCGTAATCATTAACGTTCGTCTTGTCTTTTACAACAATTTCTAAAAAATTTACACGTTTATCGATAATTTTTAATACTTCATGCAAATGTTTTATATAGTCTCTTAAATCTTCGACTTGTCGGCCTAATCTAAAATCTACCCCTTTAAATCTTACGAACAGTTCATAAATCTGCGATCTGTTTTTAAGTAAACTTTCATCGATGTTTTTTATTTTTTCTACGTCCTCACCTCGGCGCGAACAACAACAACAACAACAACGACACCGATCCATTATAACACGTCACTAAACTGTCTGTAAAACATCATTTTCATCGTTTATCATAACTGCGATGCGATCGAATTACGCAGCGCCGTCCGTCGGGCGAAATACTCGCGCAATCATAGTGTGTGTGTTGGGTTACATGGCGGGTGCCGTCCGCCAGATGGCAGCACATGTACAAAGTGTGAATTGGGTTTCAGGGTACGCGCCGTCCGCCAGATGGCAGCACATGTACAAAGTGTGAGTTGGGTTTCATCGGATTAGTGTACGTTGGGTTGCATCGGATTAGAATACAAGGGGTTTGCTCCATTCCCCTCCCACCTTTCCCCTACTATGGCGGGAGGGGTATGTAAGGCAGAGGGGTATGGNCTGTTTGTTTTAGTTTAGCATCTTCTTAATTTTAAATGGTTTTTTTAATTTTGGCAACTGTTTTTTTCTTTTTAAGTTATTCTTTTCTTTCTTTTTCTTTAACACTAGCTTGTAATTAATTTTTGTAGGGTGTACCTGTAATTAATGCTGCAGAACCTGTTTTACGTCCCCTGTTTGAAGAAGCTGCCAATGAACTGCCTGATGGCAAAGGCGAAAAATCTTGGACTTTTACAATGTTTGATAACTGTTTAGCTTTAACACCGCTACCCGTTTGTTCTTTCGGGGGCGTTTTTTCAATAGACAGTTGAATTAAGTCATTGGTATGGTCTGGTTCGGATTCAGTGATATCGGGAGAGTGTTCTCCAGGTAGAGTTCTTTCTCTTTGTTTTTCTGTAAGGAAGTCTACTTGTGAGAATATATTCCGATTGAACGGAAAAATTCCTGCTTTACGAAATCCATTGGCTGATATCTCAGCAGTAGCGCATTTCTGATAAGCAGGGCAGAATAATTTACATATTTGAAAGGGACTACCATTTCGCAAAGTGTTATTCTTCAACCAATTTTGAATTTCTCTTGAATAGTATGTCTTTAATGTAGACATAAAAGACAAATCTAACGGTTGAGACATAATTTTTATTAGCTAGGTCAATCACGTCCAGATTCCGTGTATGTCTATAATGGCCGTCGAGAATGAGCAACACAGAATTATTTTCTGAAGGTTTAACATGATTGATAAAGTGTTGCATCCATCGCGTAAAGATGTGGCTCTGTATCCATCATGAAGGATGACATTC